GGTGACATTGAGCCAGATGTGCCCGAGGGGCACAGCTTCCTTCCCTAGGATGATCCCGTAGAACAGCGCCTTGCTGGGCCGCAGGCTGCATCGTGGGATGCCCATCCTATCTAGGGTACTGGTGTAGAGTATGTTGAGGCCATTGCCGCCATCCATCAGCACCTCGGTGAGGCGCGTGGTGCCCACGATTGGGCTAATCACGAGCGGGTAGCGTCCCGAGTGCGGGACATGATCAGGGTGATCCCCCTGGTTGAAGGTGATGGCCGTCTGGGGCCACCGGAGTCATGTTGGGGCGGCGAGGGTGTGGATGGCGTTAACCTCCTGCTCGATGATGCGGCACTGTGGGTGGGACTCATACGCTTGGGAGCCCCCGAAGATCATGAGGCAACGATCGGCCTCGAGGAACTCGACGGCGTCCTCTGGGGCGGTGTCCGATGGTCCAACCTTTAGGGCCAGCTTCTAGGCCTTGCCCTACTGGCCGAGGGTGTCGCAGATGTAGCCCCTAATGGCGGCGTGAGCTCGGGCGCCGCATCGGCAGGAACCTCGCCGTTGATGTAGTAGCACATGTGTGGCGGGGCATAGCAGTCAATGTTGTCGGAGTTATACTCCGGGCCGTTCCCCAAGAGGATCTCGAGGAAGGTGTGCAGCGAGAGGACGTTAGCCCCCAGCGTCATAGAGGATGATGCTACGTGGCATTTCATGGCTGACGAGGTGCTCTAGCTCCAGCTGGAAGGACGCCGCCGCATTCTGGATCCCAAAAGGTAGGTTTAGGAGGTAGTACCAGAAGCGGCCAGGCGGCGGGAGAACCTCGCCGGTGGCGATCTGGTGGTGGACATTGGCTAGCATGTAGAACATCTAGCGCCGGTCCGACAAGGCGAGGTGCAGACCCAGACTACACCGGATCGGAAAAAAAATATGATTTAATATGATTAATATATCTTAGAAAAATTATTTTTTTACGAAATTAAATGAAAATAATTTTTATATGAAAATTATAGATCTCGATGAGATCTACAACTTTCTAGTTTTGAGTTTTTTCATTTGAAGTTGTTAAGATGCTCAAAAAAATTAATAACATATTTAGACATAAGGGTATTTTGACTTTTCACACCTGCAGTTTGACGACGTTATAGTCTAAAATGATGGCAGTGGCATGGAGGGCAAAAAAAAAAGTTAGAGTAGTGGCGCTGAAGACCGCTGAATTTTTCTAGAGACACACAGAGCATTACGAACTTTTTTAATGGCACATAAAATTTCCCCAAAAACATGCTCTAGCAGAGCCCCTACTTGACCTCAATTTTGGCTGGGCACCCAAATCTTTCCTCAGACCCCATTGCTGTTGGGTCAAACACCCCCCGGGCCCCCATCCTACCTCGCGTGCTCCCCCCTCCTTGGCTCTCTTTGTTCGCAGTAGCAAGGGACGCGGCAGCGCAGCAGGCCTGCGCGGCCACCGGCTCCTTCCCCTCCCTCTGTCGCGCCCTCCGGAGCCGCTCGCCATAGTGCTGACGCCGCTCGCCATGGATCCCGCCATGGACGCCGCCCGCCATAGCGCCCCCTGCCATGGATTCCGCCGCAGGAGCCCCTACAGCTCCCTCCGCCACCGGCCCTCCGGTGGCCCTTCCGCTCTCTCCCTCCGGTGGCCCTTCCCCTCTCTCCGGTGACCCTTCCTGTGGGCGGTAGGGGCACCGCGGACGGGTTGAGCGGCAGGGGCATTGCGGATAGGCCGTGCCCTCCCGTGGGCGGCAAGGGCACCGCGGTCGAGGATCACCACGGCGGGGTCGAGCAGGCTCGTGGGAGGCAGGGGCAGGGGCGGCACCGACATCTCCTGCTCTGGGGGCGTCGGCATCTCCTGTTCCGGGGCAGCGCGGCCAAATCCACCGGTCCAGAGAAAGAAGGAAGAGAGAATGACGAGGAGGTCATATTTGTCATTGTCTAGTGAAATAGATTTGGAGACTAAATTTGAGAGCTATTGTTGGAATAGAAGAAAAAAAAAAACTGAACCAACGAAAATGAAGGAAAGCACCCAAATCAGATTTAGGTGCCCTGAGTGCCCCCTTGCTCTGAAAGTCTAAAAGGATGAGGTACTACTATGGTCATATGCCACCAAATAAGTTATTCGCTTGTTGATTTTAGCCAAGATTTATCAGCCAGCCAACAGAGTTTTTTTTTTATAACAAATCAGCACCCGTCAGATTTATGAGCCCAAAATAATAAGCAGCACACGGTCGTCACTGGCCCTTTAAAATCGAAACAGAGATTTACGACCCTACCGTATCTGGTAGGACAGCTCGTCGCACTACATCGCTGTAGGCCGCTGTACGAGTACGACAAGATTGTGCTGTACCTGTACGTCGCCAACGCTGCTCGTGTGAGCCGCGACCCAACTCACCGCATCGATCTCGCCGTGGCTTTTACTTCAGCGGCCGCGAGCATGCACGCACACGCGCTGCGGTTGACGCGCAAGAGCGCAGAGGCGCGGATCCAGATCGCCGGCCGTCGGTCCAGCCAGACGACCACGCAGAAACTCTGGCAGGAAAATTGTTGCAAGGTTAGGTTAATGGCGCATCAAGAGATGTCAAACGAACACTGACCAGCTAGCTACGCCTAACCAATGATTACCTCCCATGGACACTACCACTACATGCCTAGATAGATATCATCAGCATGAGACCACTCGCCACTAGCACTTGTTTTGTACTCTTGATTATTGCTACAAGATTTGTTCTTATTTTAATTGCGTAGTAAACGTACAACGTACACCAGCATGTTGTGCACCGTGCGCACACGACGACCCGCGGTTTGGCGCTCCGCTCCTCAGTGATGGATCCGCCCGATCGACGCGGCCCGGTGCATGCATCGACGCCGCAGCAGGTACACAAGTTCGATCCGCGCCCGCCCGTGACGCGACGGGGACCCGACGCACTGCACGCAGGTACGCTCTTGCGCTGCCCGGACGTGAAGGTGGAGTCTTCGGCCCCGGACCTCACGGCACGGGCCGGCATGCAGTTGGTCTGAGCCCGGGTCCGACCGTCTGGAATGGTTGTACTAACTAGCTAGCGCGAACGACTTGTATGATCACGCCGGCCAGTCCTTCTGAGGCAGGTGCCTCCTAGGAGTCAAGTGTGGATTACGCAGGCTTAACCGCGCCCACCACCAGCTAGTAGTGCACCAACCCAAACACAAGTGATCGCTCCACTGAACTTATTAGCGCAGTACCAGTCAGGACGCTGACCCGAAAGGAAGAAGAAAGCTCCCTCCCTCTCTGACTAGCTCTGGGAGCAGGAGATCCCTGGCGTAGAACAATCTGGGCAAATGGAAGGAAGAGACAGGAACAGGAGAGAGAGGCCGCGGAGGCGGAGAAGATGACCAGTAGATGAGAGACCAAGGGGAAACGAGGCGAGCCGACCGACAGACAGCCTGTTCGTTTCGGCTTATTCGCTCAAATGCTGGCTTATAATCCACGACTTAAATAGTGATTTTTTCTCTCACACTAAACCCGTTAGCAGAACTTTCTCGCTTATAAGCAATTCAACCGAAAATTACAGGCTTAGAGTCGCTAGGCGCCGGTACCAAGTACGGAGCAGTACTACCAAAAGTGGTGTGGAGGCAGCCAACCGCCAAGGCAATAGAAGCCGCGACAAGAAGCGACGGCGAGCAGTTGGCGAAGCCGGCGCGCGCAGACGGACCCGCGCTCGCCTACCCCAGCAGGCAGCAACACCGCTGCAGCTTCCAGGGCTCCAGCGCACCCACACCGGCAAGGGCCCAGGGGACCAGGTGCTCCACCTGCAGCCCATATGCACGGGCACGGGCACGGGCACGAGCGAGCACCGGTAGTGGCGGGCTGGCGGTGGAAACGAACAAGTACTACTCCTAGAGCTAGCTGAGCAGCAGCAGCAGGAGCCTTTTCTTCCTGGGAAGAATGCAAACGGCGGAAACAGCTGCCTGGTGCTGTCTGCTGTGGACTGTGTGGTGCGGTGGCAGTGCTGTGGCTGTGGCGGCGATGTGGCGCATCGATCTCGATCAGTTTTTTCACTCTCTCCATCACATCAATTTTTTAGCTGTCCGAGACAAACAAAGTTGGAAATCACGAGATGAATCTTTTGAGCCTAGTTGGTCCAATGACATGATTGGACAATATTTGCCGAATAAAAGCGAACCAGGACGTTCCGCAAAAAAGCACTAGCTTGACACTCACACACAACTCATGACTCGCTCTTGAGATCACAAGTTTTTTTCTCTCTCCATCACACAGCTCATGACTTCGTGACCGCTACTGAACTGATGAGAGTACCCAAGTGCAATTCAGCATGAAATTATCGCAAGGCCTGAACTGAGTACCCAACAAAGCATGGCGCGAGTCGTGTGATGCATGTACCAGCGTTATGGCACTGGTAGCATGCTCGGCAGGACACGGTGTGGCCAACAACTGGAAAGCTAGCTAATGACGTAGAGCAGGGAGGAGAACTGGGGTGGGGGAAGGAGCTCGGCTCGCTCTAAAGCGTCCGCGTTCTGAGTTTACTTGCGTCGGGTTTTTGGATGGCATTTTAATAGTGACGAATTCTTGTGGTTTGGCCAACGGTGGACCCCCAAGTTACAAAAATACTATAGGAGTACTACTTGCTACTACTTGTGCTGTGAGCAGAGTTTAATGGGAGGGACAGGTCAAGATCAAGAACATGGTGAATGCACTTTTCAATAACAAAATCCGAGTAATGGGCCACTTTGATTTAGGTACAAGATCAAGAATATGAATGTGCTGCTGTTCATCTAATTTAGGTACGTACTGCTGACCGCTAGACTATCACAATGGAGTAGTAACAGAGGAAACAAGAGAAAGGAAACAAAAATGCTCAAATGTTGTTCTCCTTCTCCATCTGGTTCTTGCATGGAATGGAACCCACGCCCTTGCGTACCGCAGCAGCTGCGCAAGAGCATCAGCCCGCCGGTCTGAAGTTGGCGTCGTCGTAGTAGGTATCGATCGGATCAGCAGCTGGCAGGCCTCACTGTCTGGCGCCGCCGAACTCGGTGTCGTACACGGCGGAGAGCTCGAAGTCGTCGTCCGTCGCGGCGGCCGGCACGTTGAGATCGAAGGACCCGGAGCTGTCGCCGCATTTCGCTGCGGGCGTCCGTGGGGACGGGGTCGTCGGCGGGGCGGGCGCGCCGGTGGCGGCGGCGGCGGCGTACGGCATGTGCGCGCGCTTGTGGCCGCCCAGGGCCTGTCCGGACTCGAACACGCGGAAGCAGAACGGGCACTCGTGGACCGCCGCCGGGGCGTTGTTCTCGGCGGCGCGGTGAGCCTTGGACGACGACGGCAGCGCGGCGGGAGGCGGCACTGCCACCGGCACGCACCCGCCCTTGCCTTTCTTGATGCTGGCGCGGTGGCCGCCGAGCGCCTGGTACGACCGGAACACCTTCCTGCACACGCCGCACTGGTGGTGCCTGCCGCCGCGCGGCGGGCGCGCGACGTCGTCGTCGTGCTCATGATGATCGGCGCCGTCGTCCGCGCTGGCGCCGACAAACGAGCGGACGGTGCCGTCGTCGTCGTCTTTGTTCTGCTCGGCCGCCTCCGAGCTCGCCGGGCCGCCCCGGCCGGATCTGCTGGACCGCGTCCATGAGTCCCGAGACAGCATCACGAGGGACATGGCCACGTCCTCCACCGGCGTCGCGTCGGAGACGCTGCTCGCAGCTGGCTGCTCTTGCTTGGGATCGGACGACGCCACCGCCGCCGGTGGCGGTGGCGGCGCGCGCCGGCGCGCCCGCTTCGAGCGGCGCCGGCTCACGACGGCGAACCGCGGGGACGACGACTCCGTGTCGCTCTCCCCGTCCTGCACGACCGACGACTCGCCGCGGGCCGCCCTGCCGCCGGACAGTCCAGGGGAGTCGTCGAACCTCTTCTTGGTGCCTTCGCGTACAACGCACGGCGTCGGTGGTGGCTCCTGCTGCGCCGCCGGCTTGTCGTCGCCCATCTCTGTCGACGAAGTAGACGCCAGGGAAGGGGAGAGTGGCGGCGATTGCTGCCGCGACCGCAGCGACGAGTACGCTGCAGCAGCCGACGCGGCCATGACGTGGGAGCGCATGTGGCCGCCCAGCGCGCGGCCATTGTGGAACCGCCGGAAGCAGAGCTTGCAGGTGTGCCTGTCCATCACCAAGCAACAAGCAAGAATTCCTACACCGAAGGCAGACAGCCAGCGCAGAGGAAACGCTGCAATGGTGGTGGAGCAAGCACTGAGCAGCTAGCTGCTTGCTTGCTTTGCCCTCTGGCTCCCTTTGCTTTCTTTCTCCCTTTGCTTGCTCTGTGCTGCCTTTGAGCGGGCCTCACTCACTCAAGGTCAAGGATATCAATAGTCTGATGGAAAAAGAGGCGGAAGAAGTGTGAGAAGGAGTAGGTGACAAGCATCGCTCCTCTCCACCGCCTACCAGGGAGAGCGAGGGGAGGAAGGAAGGAAGGGACGAGTGGGATCGGAGGAGGTGACAAAGAAAGGTGCTTAAGCACAGCACTTAAATACGCAGAGCACAGGGCCAGGCTTTACAAAATTAAGGGCGTTCAAGACACTTGTAAAACTGAAGATCCACAAGATAAACAGAAAATAACTGCTCCAAGGCAAATGCCGTAGCTAGCCTGTCTGTAAATGAATGTCAATGGAGCAGAGAGAAATTCGCATTTGCATAACTGGCCGGATTGAATATGGAGGTCAATAGGGTTTGGGCGTACCACTCGGCAATTCTTGAATTCTTGCTTGCCCGTAGCCTGTAGGAGTTACAGTTTTACACACATTAGGCAAATTTATTATTGGTGGTAAAAATTAAGCAACACGTAATTAATTGTGTGCGTGGAATATTTTGGCAATGCAAAATCGAAGGTACATTGCATTTGACCACTGAGAGAGTCTGTGATCCTGGCCAATTAATGGAATGTATTGACACTGATTCTCTCACGTCTTCTCCAGTTCAATTCAATTCCTCCCCTATCCTATCCAGAAATTAGCAGCCTCTTTGTTGGCTGGTTTGTACCGAAAGTCTTGGCACTCGGCAGCTACTATCGTGATGCATGCCTCTAAGGGCGTGTTTAGTTTGCAAAATTTTGTTGAAATGATACTGTAGTATTTTCGATTGTTAGTTGGCAATTAGTATTTAATTATAGTTTAATTATGCTTAAAAGATTCGTCTCATAAATTTCGTCTAAATTGTGTAATTAGTTTTATTTTTTATTTATATTTAATGCTTCATGTGCATGTGTCCAAAGATTCGATATGACGATAAATCTTGAAAATTTTTTGTAAAATGAAGTGGAACTAAATCTAGCTAGGCCCTGTTCTTTGGAAACACTGACTTGCAAAATGGGCAAAGACTGCAGAGGATGCGATGGCTGTGCCTGTGCCTGTCAACTGTCAACTGTGCATCACATCATACACTGCACTAGTACTTGCTGGTGATGTTCGGTTATCAACAGTGCTAGGACTACTAGAGGATGCTGCAGGCAGCAGGGGATCGATGCGGGTGCCCCACATGGACGTGCGATGCTTTTGTCGGCGCGCATGTACAGAGTGCATTTCACCTATCGCACATGCCTCTTTTTTGTTGAACAAGTCTCCTGCAGTCAAGGATGGGGATCGGCTGATGGCTCCAATGCATATGCAATGCAAGGCAAACAAGATTGCTACAAGAAAGAGAAATGCTGTAATGCATATGCTGCAAGGCAAACAAGAAATGCTTGGCTGCTGCTACTACTACTGCTAGTACTTAGCACCTACCTTTTGGATGTATCAACCATACCAGAAAGAGCAGCGCAAGGCGCGTCAGCTGGCCATAGCCAGGATTTAGTTGGCACTTGGCACCTTCGTTTTCGTCCATGCAATTGCAGTAAATCTGGCCAAGCTAGCTGTGATCGGGGTGGGTGGTATTACTGGCCATTCACAATAATCAGACCTTCCCATCGCAAACTCATCCCGGAGTATTTTCGAAATGCTGTAACAGTATATCATCATGGAGCCTAGTGCTCACTTTCACCTCTTGTCGACGTGATTTTGCTGCTAACATCGCCAACGCAGCGGCATTGCGCATATCGATCGTCCCGTGCAGGTCGTAGTTACTCTGATCTGCTGGTAGTAAACGAGCGTCCAACTGATTGCAGTTCTGAATTTCCGATGCAGTCTATTCGCTTGCTTGTAAACGATCGTAAATTTCTAGCCGAGAACAGTGCTTTTCTCTCATACCAAACCAGCCAGCAGTAAATAATCCACGATACGATACGACCTCCCGAACAGACTGAAGATTGCTACAAGAAAGAGAAATGCTATAGCTGCTGCTTGGCTGCTGCTATTACTACCGCTAGTACTTAGCACCTACTCCCTCCGTCCCAAAATAAAAGACGTTCTCGTTTCCCGAGAAACGACTGCCGGCAATTATATATTAAAATATATAAATATTTATGCTAAGTAATTAGTATCATCGAAAAGATCTTTTTGTCTAGTTTTTTCACAAATTTATTTGAAGATATAAATATTGCACGTATTTTCTACAAATCGAGTCAAACTTGTGGCACGAAAACCCAAAACGTCTTTTATTTTGGGACAGAGGGAGTACCTTTTGGATGTATCAACCATACCAGGGGCCCGTTTAGTTGGCGGACCAAGTTGGCGCCGCCGGAATTGTGGTCCACTGTAGCGACTGTAGCATTTCGTTTGTATTTGGTAATAATTGTCCCATCGTTGACTAATTAGACTTAAAATGTTCGTCTCGTAAAGTACAACCAAACTGTGCAATTAGTTTTTTTATTTCGTCAACATTTAGTACTCCATGCATGTACCACAAATTTGATGTGACGGGAAATCTTCTTTTTGCATAGTGCCAAAGTTTGGATTTTGAGGTAACTAAACAAGGGCCAGAAAGAGCAGCACAAGGCGCGTCAGCTGGCCATAGCCAGGATTTAGTTGGCACTTGGCACCTTCGTTTTCGTCCATGCAATTGCAGTAAATCTGGCCAAGCTAGCTGTGATCCGGGTGGGTGGTATTACTGGCCATTCACAATAATCACACCTTCCCATCGCAAACTCATCCCGGAGTATTTTCGAAATGCTGTAACAGTATATCATCATGGAGCCTAGTGCTCACTTTCACTCTTGTCGACGTGATTTTGCTGCTAACATCGCCAACGCAGCGGCATTGCGCATATCGATCGTCCCGTGCAGGTCGTAGTTACTCTGATCTGCTGGTAGTAAACGAGCGTCCAACTGATTGCAGTTCTGAATTTCCGATGCAGTAGCGTCCAATACGAAATGGAGAGCGGTAGCTAGAAACATCTAGACAAGAAAAACTAAAGTGTTCCAATCCTTAAAGCTTAGGGAGTTAGGGCCCGCCAATGGCGCAGGCCCATGCATGGAATGGGCCACACCCACACATGAGGAGAACATTGGGGCCCCACGAAGCCTTCTGTTCACGAATCAACCCTGCTCGCTGTCTTGTCCCAATAACCCACCGTCGTCTACCACGACGCCACCAAATCTAGTGTCAGCGGCGCATACATCGACAGCGAACTCTTCTTGCACGGGACGTACGGGCGCCGCGGCAGAAGCCGACGCGGTGACGCCACATACCTTTGGCTCTGCTCAATGCTCGTGATGATCATAAATGGTACCCGTAGCGTATCATATGCATGCATGTTGCTCCTGACGATCATGCATGGACTAATATACCATGCCTGCGTAAAGGGCACGATGACACAGCGACTACTTGAAACTAGCTAGCGAGAGCATCTCGATCGTCTCTTCGAGCTTCACTCAGGCTTTGTCTCGACGTAGTCGGATTCGTATAAATCCACATGTGTTGGGGTGGTCAAATCTACCCTAACACATGTGGATTGGGGTGAATTTGATAACATCCAAACAAGGCATCAATTGACATTATCTATCAGTCTTTTTTTAGTAAAAATAGTCACCAATTAAGGTGCTAATGTATCCTACCACTTGCTCAAACGGCGGTTTGTTAAAACTGTCGGTACACATTGGCGGTCGGTATATAAGTAGTTCTATAATTTTGATTGATTTGCTGGCATTCATTTTCGCAAAAACGGAATAGAGAGCATAAAAAATTCTTGGAAGCCACGTATGGGATGAAGTGCTATCGCTAGCCATTGTTGCTCATAAAAAAATTGGTAGTTGCTAGGGTGAAAACGATCAAAAAGGGCTCCATCACTTTCAGTTTCGTAATCTTTGTTGAAAACGAAAACGATACAATATCATCGAAAACAAGAACGACGTCGATACTCCGATAATATCAAAAACGACACCATACGATCGAAAGTACATTGATAATGATCGGAACTCAACAAAACGGTACTTCAAAAACGATAAAGAATCATAGGACATGACGCTAGCCATGCAAGTATACAACCTACTCCTTTTCATACAAATGAACAAACGATTAAGACATAGACATTATTACTTTAACCATGTCCATAACACATAGTCACTTGTTTGGATATAGTTAGGTTAGGTTAAGGTTTTATGTGGAACCCACATGTTTTTTTTTATGAAAAAATAGAAAGATGGCTTTCTTTATACAACAGATCAGCCTCTGCCTAACTTAGGTTCATGCAATCAGCGGAGCGAACGGTGGCGTGACTAGAGGGGGCGGGCATACTACGCTTGGCAGCTTGGGCCTATTGGGCTCGGCTACCAAGGTGTGCGGCGTGTAGAGAAGCAGAGGCCGGGAGTCATGTTGCTAGCCTGCTGAGCTCAGGCTCCCAAAGGTGGAGATGATATCTTTTTCTCTCTAAAGAAAACAATATAGTATCACGATATTTTACCGCAAAAATTATCATACTTATACAGCCAAAAAACAGAAAATGTTGTTGCCGTTATTGTTTTCACACTTGTCTACCTTTACGGATATGGTATTTATGGTTACCGCTACCGTTTTTTTTAGTCAAAAACGCAGTAAAACCTCGGAAATGAAACGAGCCTCGAAAACATGTTTTCCAGTTTTGCTTTTATACCTACTAGTCGCCTCTGAGAAATCTGATTGTTCGGGGGTAATAAAAACAACTTTACAAAAACAAACTTCTGCAGCTACTATATGCTCCTTTTGGAGACTAAGGAGAAGGAAAAGCTAGAGCAGGTTAGTTTTTGTCATGATTGAAGGAAATC